CAGCACAAAAGATGCAGGGTAGTTTTTGACTCACTGCATACAAAGCAGATGACAACTTTTATCACTTCAGAGTCCTATTGTGCCCTTTAACTAAAAAAGGATCTCAAAGCACCAAAGAGGTATTTTACACATAGGGTTAGCTTCACTTTTCAGATCTCTGCAGGTCCTTTTGAATACATAGGAAACCGAAGTATGCAGAATGTACCTACCCAGGTCAAACTTTGCTCAGTAAGCCTTTTCTGAAACAGGAGATTTACTTGGACTCTTTTGAAAAGTGTCACAAGTTTTGATTAATATGAGCAATATGGACTGTGATTTGCGGTTTCATCTGAACAAACAGCCTACCAGCAAGCTAGGACATTTGGCTCAGGAATGATCCAAAGATCACCACTTCATCATAGATTTTCTCATGAGCTATCTACACAGCGAGTGAAATTCTGGACCCACTGAAGCAAATCAGGGTATGTCCAGACTGTGGTAACAGTGTGCCTCCACAGGGATTGCCCCAAACATGCTTCACCTACTCACTTTCACTCCCACCCTTCAAACCTGGAAATACACCAGTGGAAATGATCCAGGGTGTCTGCCTGTGGCCACTCTTGATATCTCAGTCTCTGGTATGCTTGAATGCACCTGCAGTGGTACACCCTGGAGCACCTTCTCTGCTGTCTTTCCAGAGGTGAGTGGGAGGCTGTGGGTAGGGTACACTGGGGATGGGTGTCCCACTCAAGATACGCTGCCACAGCAGATTGGACATGGTGCAAATTTCCAGCCCTGTGGGTACAGAGCAAAACTTGAAAGTATAACCTGAATGCATCCTAAAGACTCAAAAACCAGGTAACTAAAGAAAAAAATTCCCAGTTTAAAAAAAATTGTTCCATACTCAACCAAACTTACCATTTTTTTGAGGCTGACTCATAACTTTTTAACATCTGGGTTGGCCATATTACCTAAATGACTTTCTTCTGCATATTTCTCTCCAAAGTTCTTCCCCTTAACGTATCAAAGGCATAATATACCTACAAACAAAGCAACTCATTCTTTAGCTTTAGTTTTTGGGCATCAGCACTAAATTATACGTGTCTGTATTTCACATCTAAAATAATTTCTCTGTTAAATGCAAACACAACAAGCAAATACTGCAATAAAAGTTACTTAACATGTTGCTTTATTTTGCTCTCATTGAAAATTCACATGAGACTCTTTATGTGCTAAATGCTGTTATTTTTAAAAAGGACACATCTACCTATATTGTAGCTACCATTTGTATTCTGTTCCTAAAGGCCCATTATCATTATAAGAACACTCCAATAAAATCTCCTAATTTCCTTCTGTCTACCAGAAGATAGAAATTAGCTTGGCTGTTCCTACTTTCTTAATCAGTTCCTCAATCACTAGCTAAAGCATTCATTATCTCAAAGTCAACACAAACACTTAGCTTACCATCTATTGGGGGTTACCTGTCATGACTTGGTATGCTAAAATGTCTTTAATTCTAATTTGCTCAGGATCTCTGGGCCTTACTGCTTTCTTCTATTTTTTCTCAGGATTTAATAATGTTTTTGACACAAAGGAGCAACTGATCCTACGGCTAAATAAGTAACTTGGTTTAGTCACCTCAAATTGATGCATTTCCTTTCCAATAGGTCTTAAGTCAAAATGTAATTGCTCTTTTACTTGATGGTAAATGGCCTTAGTCCTTCGGTTCTGTCTTATGCTCTTGGCCTTTCTTATTTACAGAAAAGAAAAGGATAGCCAATCATTCTGCTTTCTTTAGTACTCAAAATGAAACCAACTTTTTGCTAAAGAATGAATACACTACTGAAGCACAAGAGCTTATGAAGTCACAGAAATGCTAGTTTATTCCCTGACGGGCAAGTAACATGATTCTAGAAGCCAGACTCAGAGAGTTCCTTATTCAGTCAAAACTTCTCTTGACTTCAGCTGGAAACTCTTGGCATGTAAAGAATGCAGAATTGAGCCATATATAACCTTATCTACACTTGTGTGATTTCTCAACCTCAGCTGGGCAACAGTGGGACAGATATTTTGAGCCAACCACTTAAAATATGTTTTAACATCATCCAGATCTCTGAATCCAACTAGAAGACAGCCAACATTCACTAGTATTTCTGTAGATGGAACTGTACTGACAAGAACAAGGAGAAATTAAAAAACAAAGTGCAGGTGCAGCTCATATTGTTCATGTGTGCACTTCAACAGAATATAGATCAATGATTCTCAGTGAGAGAGCCTTGAGATTCTTTCAAGGGTGCCATGGGGTGCCACACATTGTTAGTACTGTTAGGTGTGCAACAATCATGATTCACAAGATAAACCCAGAGATTTCAAATAGAAATCCATAGTGTTAAAACCACTCTGACTTGCGGTCTTTCTGAGTTCTTTGCTCAGTTCACACTTGTTTTTTACTACAGAAAAATAACAAACAGATGGCATTTTCGAAGGGGTGTTTTGAGTTGAACTGGGGTGCCTCAAGCCTAAAAAGTTTGGGAATTACCGATGTAGATATTTTAGGTATGTGCATTATTTCTTTGCATCTGACATTAAGATACTACTTCTCCTACAATGTCTAACTGATTTGCCCTTTCCTGCCTTCTGACTACCTTCATGAGAACCCTTTTACAACTCTGAAGAATTATGTTTTTCAGGTTTTATCAGTTGCTTCATACCAATTGCAATTAGCAATAGATTCCTCCAGCTTAGATTTTTCTGCACCTGAATTCTCAAATATGGCAAGACCCTGATTTGAATTACAAAACCCATCCCAATAAGTTGCGAATTCCTGTATTCTATCTGCATTACTGGATACATTATTTTCATCTATTTACATGGACTTTAATTACCATTTACCATAAGTGATCTTATTCTGTCAATTATTACCTCATTTTAACAAGTCTAGTTTCCATCCTCTTTAGCTTGCAGAAACACATTTCCATTTTAAAAGAAACCTTTTAGAAAATAGGTTTCATTCTGCACATTCAGACACTGACTGATTTACCACCTTTTGGACAATGCTTTGTCTATGTGCTAGCTGGCCACAGACATAGCAGAATGGCATTGCTTCTATTTACACCACTGAAAGGCTTTGTTTGCTCTTATTGCTGGCAAGGCATTTGGGACATTCTGCTCACACTAGCTGTGCCAGAGGGTAATCTGCCAAAGCTGCTGCTCTCCTCCAAGGCTAAGGACTATGTTCTCTGACTGAGGCCTATGAGTCCCTGATAGAATCTGAAAGAACAGTCCTAAATTATGCGCTCCAATAACCAACTGATGTCTTTGCTTTCTGGCTTAATCCATTTGCTGAACAGTCCTTCCAGAAAACATTCAACCTCTCTTGGTTTTGGTTACTTGGGTAGCTGAGCCCCTAACCTTCTTCCCAGAGGATGCTGTTGGAAAACCAAAAAGCAGCGAGAAAAAAGGATAATTCCTGTGTCTGTTTCTCAGTCCTCCTCAACAGTTTTGCATTGCAGCATGATTGGCATCCCTGAAAGGGGCTCCTGCCTATGCATAGTAGACATATGAGAGTGAGATGGAGAAGGAAATATGTGATCTCCTAACTAATAAAGTGATAGAGAAACCCAGAGATGTTACATCCACCTTGTAACAAAGTCAAAACAACTGTAGGTGTAATACGGCAGAGCCAACATTTAAACACCTGGGTTTCATGGGGGGGACCAAACATGACAATAGTACAGAAAGCTACTTTCCAGAAAGCACTACATTTTAATGTCTGTTTTACAGTCCAGAAGAGTAACCATGAGAGTTAGAGAAAAGGAAAATGAATGGATACAAGAATGTAAGGTTTCAGTGATTTTATAAGTTTGGTTATTTGTCTGCCATTCAGTACTCTGTAGGTTTTTATTGTATTGTGAATACTATGGGTGCTGTGTGTTTATTGCAAATTACTAGGCTATTTTTTCTTCCCCTTTTATGTTTTTTTTTTAATCTCAACTCTTCTTGATAGTTTCTCCTGCATATTTTTGTATTTAAAAAAAGAATAGTGGTTTTGACTGCTGAATAGCACTTCCTTAAATGCAATTATGTTCCTTTCAGTATTTTCTCAGCAGATGTTTTCCTGTGCGATCTACTCTAATGGCAACTCTCTTAAGTTTCAAACAAACTATCTATGTCAAATATTAGCAAGCATAGCCAAACTCTTAATTTTAAGGAATTTTCCTGGTCCACTTTTATTTCTAACTTCAAGTGTCTAAAGAAGTATATACTTGGGAATAAACAAGTGTTAAATAAGATACAAGGACAGGTTAGCTTCGATTACCATTGTTTCCCCCTAAGACCAACTTGTTGCTATCAGTTCTTTGTATTCCATCTTGCCACTTCTGCCAAGGAAAAATGATATGATTTGAAAAAAACCCATATTCTAAAATGTATTCTGAATTAACCCTGTATTTCAAAAGAAGTACAGGAACTGTGATGTAGAGGTTTACTAAGTCAAACCTTCCTTTGTCAAATAAGTAAAAAAAAATGTCACAAGTTGCTGGGATCAAATCTACAGTATCTTCAAACTAACTTTAATATTCTAAATAACAGAGTTTTTAGGTGTCAGGTGGAAAATGCTTTTCATTTCATGTTTGTCTAATGTATGCTCATCCCTATACCTCTACCAAGGTCGCAAATAAAGATTACATAGACAAAGGATCCAACGGTTTTCAGAAACTCAAGAATTATTGCAAGAATGGCCTCCAAAACCATAAGTGGTCAGGATTCACACATAAAACAACAATTAAAAATGTACAATATTTAGCTTTTTCCCTTCGCAAATTTTGCTTTTTTTTTGTGCATGTGCATGCGTGCGCACACACACACAAAGCTTCTATGTACTGTTTCTCATGTGGAGGGTTAGACTGTCTTCAGGCATTTAGCAGAACCAAACAGAACTGAAGTTAAAGTGGGTAAGTTATAAGTAAGGTAGCTGATCGGGATCTGATTATCTAAAATAGCTAAAAAAAGCAAACTATTGTAAAGCTAAACAATTTAATTTAATTTTATACCTTTATTACATTTCTTTAGCTATGAGTACATGAATAACTGCTAAAACACAGCACAACAATACATCAGCAGCATGCAGGCAGAAACTACGTTGCTTCATTAGTTTTCTGAAGCAAACTATTTACAGTTATGGACAGTTTCAAATACATTTTACACAAAACCAGATATTCAGGAATAAAATAACTAACAATCAGACTGATTAATTTTACTCTCATATAAGAACATTTTTCTCAAATAAATCTGATCAGAAATCAGTTAAAAAAACAACAAAAAATGCATTTTATGCTAAATTTTCAATTATATTTAATACTATACAAAAACCCAAACTTATTTCATGCTTATATATTCTGTTGCATAGTTCTGGCCTTCCACAATTAAAAATGTATTTCTTATGTTAGGCTTCCTCCTAATACAGAGCTGTTTTTGTTGTCAGAGAACGTGTCTAGACGAGATGCTACTGCACAGTAATTTGTTGCTACTGTACAGTAGCATCTAAAAAAAAACGTGCAGGGATGCAACTGCGCCGTAACGCCAGTTACTGAGCAGTCATTTAGTACTTGGTTATGCAAGTACTAACTGAATGCACAGTGACAACTGCATAGACCGCTGCTCATGTAGATGAGGCCAGAAAGTATTTTAGGCCATTCAATAGTCCTTTAGAGATCAATACCTAATCCATAAAAATCAGGTCTCTAATCCCAGGGGACAGATTTAGAACTGAATTTGTGGTTTGCTTTATGTTTTCCACTTAACTCCTTTACAAAAAGTGCAACATATGTCAGCACATTTATTGATGCAGAATGTCTATTTTACCAAGTTTATTAAGAAAAAGTGGAACTGAGCTCATCTGACTCCATTTTGCGGGAGATGATAACATATATACTGATATCCAAAAGTGTTATTCTGAAGCTAATATATAATGTGATTTCCGAGATCATCAATATTCTAAATGATCACTTGGGTCATTTATGATCAGTTGAATGGAGAAAGGTTAACACTAATGAGACAGGATCAAAACACTTAAAATTTATTTTTTGATGAACAATGTACCAGGGATGAGGAATAGATTAGTTATTACAGACTCAGTCCTCCTTTGACCAACAAGTGTAGTGGTACATTTTGGGCCAACCTTTCTTTAAAATGTTACCCTTTCTTCTCTCCATAGACTGCAGTGAAGAGGGTACAGGTGTACAGTAACTGGTAATATGTGACCCTCCATGGAGATAGAAGTGGTTCCTCTTTATTGAGCTTCCCTAGCCCAAAGGGTTGGACAAAGCTTAAGAAAACACAGAAGAATGACTGGCTGTTTTAACCAATATGTTTTACTTTGGGAGAGTAACAGAAGGCAGCTCTTCACTTTTGACTCAATGGAGGTCAAATGAGATAGTATGCCTTCTTACCTTTAAACCTAAAATGTTATGGTCCTCTCTTGGCATGTCTACATGTGTATTAAGGTGCTTTTTCTAATGTGCATTAAATTTAGTACCTCCAATGTAAGGTACTAAAGGAATGTGCATTGGGCTGCCTTAATGCACAGTAACAAATGTGCATGATTTTTAAGTGATGCTTAATGCGCAGTAGCCTACTTTACTGTGCATTAGCATAATCGCAGTTTTTTACATGCTGCTTTTAATGTGCAGTAAAATAGGCTACTACGCATTAAAGGACCCATGTAGACATGCCCTCTGGAAAACAATCTGAGGTAATCACTACTTCTATTTATCCCTAAACTCATTGCTTATGGAGACATCTCTTCTGTATTCCTAGCACAGCATAATATTTCTGCTTGTTGAAACTCTAAAATACATTTTCCATAACAGTTGAAATGTTGGTTCCTACAACTTATGGCAGAAAGTTAAGTTGTGACACAGCTTTGTATTTCTACTCGTAATTCTTTCCATCAGGGACCACACCACCAAACTCCCTGTGTTCCATGTGAGTCTGGAAATGATAAGCAGTCATCTGGAGACTTCTTGTTCTGTTGCAGATATTTTAGAACTTCCTCATTTCTATGATTTAACAAACATACTTTGGAAAAATTCTAACAAATTCATCTTCTAATGGCTAGGTCTGTTTGTTTATTCTTTTTTCTTCTCTGTGTAGACAACAGAGAAATAGCCAAACTGTTCAAGGATGTGGGATGGAATTAGTCAAGTGAAAAACCCACTGCTCCATAAATAGCAGACATATCTATTCATAAAACAACAGTATGTCTTGATGAATCTTTAAAAATGTAGATCTCCTGACTTGCCCATTTTGGCCAGTACAAACACTTTTATATTGTACTTGGATATGTCCATCTCAACAGACAGCAGAACAAAGATGACTCTGTATGCTCTTTGGAACACAAACTATCTTTTTCTTGTGTTCAGGGCAGCCTCTAACACAATGGGACCTAGATGGTTGGAGCCTCTAGGCCCTACTACAATACAAACAGAAAGGTGATCAGAGCTGTTAATCAATAATGCTACTTAAAATTCCAACCATATGCTTTTATTTGCACCCAGGATGTAGGATTTGAACCTCTTTGTTTCAGACAGTTGCAAACAATTTATCTAATTGTGTTCCCATTGAAGAAAATGGCAAGTTTTCTACAGAGTTCAATGGGAACTGAACTTAAGTTTGCAGTTTGTAACACATTTTAATTTTCCTTTCTCAAATCAAATGATGATCATTTTTCACTTCTCCCTCCCAATTTTCAGCTCATATGAAAGGCATAACATTTGTAAGTAGAATATATCTTGTCAAAAAAATAAAAGAAACTGCAGTTAAGTACAACTGAAATTAAGGACTGTATCAACATTATCCAATTAAAAAGATGGTATGGATGAAAGACCTTTGATCCCAAATAAATTAGTAATTTAATACCCTCCTTACATGCAAATACGATACTCTTGGACAGATCAATCATAGTCACCTACCATTTCCCCTATTGGGAAACAGAATAAGAAAAGAAAAAAAATGTAATTTTTCATTAAATACCAGACTAGACCATTTTCTGGCCATTTATCACCTTGAGTCAGGATTGAAAGTGAGAGGAACAAACCTTCCCTGGAGCTGAAAAATAATATAAATCATACTGCACAGTATTCATAACACTACAGTTAAGGGCCACTTGCCACTCTTACTTCAGGTTTGTACCTCAATGAGAAAAGCTTAGCTTGAGGGAACAGGAACAACCCAAGAGATGGTGCCAAGGAAGTAAGACGCCAATTCTTATTTTCCTCTATTGCTTTTATTTTTAGTTAAATCACTTTGGGAGTAGACAGCCTACAAAAGACGATGTTCTAGAATTAAATGCTTAAGTTATTTATTGTAAAGTACATAGTAAAAGCTCAACTTGCAGGAAAAAAAGACTGTGGTACTGAGAGAGACTTCTTATTGGATCATTCCTTAGAGGAAAAAAAAGGTCAAAAAGCTAGCTTTAGAATACAGAACTAGATCTCACTATTCCTATTTTTAATTTCTTGAGGTTTGACCACTGTTTTATCCAGTCTACAGCACATTTCCCTTTCTGGATACAAGTCTGCAAGAAGTACAGATGCTTCCCAGCTCTGTGTTGTCTGGGTTCAAGCAGGTTTCTCCTATGATCAGGGTGGCAGAGGAGATAAAAGCAAACACAATTTTACCAGTCAGCTTTTCAGTCCTGCTGTATATTGGAAATCTTGAAACTTTCCAACTGATTGCATGCAAAGTTTAGAACTGATGAGCAGTGCCAGAGCTTGAAAACATTAAGTAGTTCAGTCATTAGTTGCCTGCAGCTATGCTTTCCATCCAGTATAAACAAAAACAGTGTTAATCCTGCAATCTAGTTAACTTTTTCAACTCCAATATTAATTATTGAAGTACCCTGGGCAGCTTTTTCCCTTGCAGTTCTAATGTATGACTCTGATGTTTACTTCCCTACAAAATTCCTTATTAAAGTTGAGTACAGTTTTTTCTTCCTAATGAAGTAAGAAGAGGAGTAGCAGAAATATTTTTGTACAATTAGCATGCAGTCTGCGTTCATTTTATATAATCACCAAATATGTTGTAATATTAAAGACATTAAAATGTTTGTATAGTAGCCAATTTTAGTTAAACGGTAACTAGAGGCAAACTACTCCATTATAACATTCAGCACTGATCAGTTATATTTTAGTAATGTGTCGTGGATTGCCAGTTTGTAGTCAGACCTGTTTATTGTCCTGGGACCCACATTATTTTTATAACCAGTCATATTACATAATTGTGATTGCATTGCATAAGACAGACGGTAACATGGCTCAAAGAGCATCTGCTGTTTCAGAACTCTAATTCTGTTTCATCCAATTTTTGACACATCTCTCTTGGCCAGGGAATGTATTGGCAAGGAGAAAAAACACAAAGCAAACATGTACAGAACAACCCAAAGAGAAAAGGTGACATGGAAAAGCAAGAGATTATTTCTCACTGACATCCAGGATAGATACTAGGAATACCATTTATTCCCATGTACAAAAGCCTCTGCTGCTTTTGCTTTTAGTGTGATCATGTGAGCAGTTTGGCAAAATAACAGTATGAAAGCAAGCACACTCCAATAACAGAACAGTCATTACAGGACCTATTAATACACAGTAAAGCACTCTAGAGGTTTAACCTTAGGTTCAAGAAAAAAAATTAAATAAAATCCCTCTTAAGAATCACAATTAAATGGCCTATTACTTCTTCAAAGCATAGGTGGGGAAATGCTCTCAGTGTTGAAGAGGGCAAGTATAATCAAGATGTTTAAAATAAAAATAGTTTGGGAAGAAAAAAGAATTTAATGCACATGGAATCTTTCACAGGATTTATAGTTTTTACATAATAGAAACACAAATATGATACACTTCTGGAAAGTATTTGGTCCAAGAACCTCAAAGCATTCTAATTAACCCCTCAAAAGAAGAGGGCAATATGAGTAATCAATTCATTCACTATTGTAATGCGGCTGCCTCTGAGATGATATGAAGCATTTGCTTTTAACAGCACAGAAAAGCTACATAATAGTTTAGGAGAGGAACTATACTACATCTACATGAATCTGCAAAGAATACAGTTACCTGGGTTGCGCCTACATTTCTGGGTAAAAATTTTGCTAACAAATTTGCTAACAAAAAAGTTTGCTAACAAATTTTTAATGACCCCGAGCCTGGGTGTCATTCTCACATTCACCAGAGGGAGTAAAAAAAAAAATCTGACTGCTCAATGGAGCCAGCCTCTTCAGTTAACCAAACATTTTTTAGCTGCTTCATAACTGCCTAACAAAGGATGGCTGATGGATTTAAATAAAATCCATATGCGCACATGCTTTCTCTCTGGATAACTCCAATTAGTGTTAATGGTGGTTATGTGAGATTTTAAGAGACTATATTGTTATGGGCCTATTTTTTCAGTTGATGCACATGCAAAATCCCATTAACCTCAAGGGGAATAACAGGGCCTCGATATTTAAGGATATAAAAAGATAACTGTCAAAAACTGTGCATAGTTCATTCCTTATGTTTTCTGTATTATCAGAAACCTTTGTTGGGGAAAGAGCCCTGTAATCAAGATGTTATTCTTGCGAGCAGTTTTGTATTGGTGAGATTCGCAGATGCACTTCAGTGACTTAACAAGCATCATTTCCATCATGCCTCCCACCCAACACTGTTAAACCACTACAAAAATTTGCCTTTTCAATGATTCATTTTAATCTGATGCTCCTGTTTGTCAAAGTATACCTTGTTCTGATTAAATAAAAAAAAACCCAACAGATTTTTGTAAGACTTGCTTTAATTTTAAAAAAGAAAGAAAACTGAACTGGGGATATGTCAAAAGCAACCTAGAAAAGTCTCTCATTGTATCGGGCAAACAATTTATTTTAATTTACAAGTTTAAGAAAAATGTAGAGTCTGTGATTTTAAACAACCAACGGCCCAAGTTTCCAAATCATTGGCCTACAGAACAGAGAGATTATCCCCATCGTGAATTGATCTGTTGCAGATGTGTCAAAACTCCTGGGGTCAAATTTTATAATATCATCTAAACAGTCTGTAAAAATCTGCTTAATCTCTTTTTTAAAAAGTAAATGTACCTGGGAAGCAACAGCCCTTCAAGCATCCCTTTGATTGTTTTGAAAATGATCATCACTAAGTACCACCTATCTGCAGATGACAATCAGTTTCAGACTCAAGTTAATGAGATATGCCCATTTCTGAAACATTATGGGAAACCACAATGCTATTATCATTGAAGCTGGAAACCAAGTTGCATTAGCAGGTACAAATGATCTCTCATAAAAAAGAAGATGCCACAGTTAATAACACTTGAAGGTCCCTTCACAATTTCTGCCTGAGGCTTTGAAACATCCTCATGCAGAAGGATTGAGGAGTTCTGGTGCTAAAATCCTGCAGGTGTGAAAGTAATCCCTGCGGTATAAAGCTATCCATGCAGAGATGCTATACTTCCATGCCAGTTCTGGGGCCTACTACTGCTTTAGTAGGACTACCCTGTTACTGTTCTCCAAATGGAGCCGTGCCTGGCAGTACCTGTCCCCACAACCTTCCTTAAAGTACAACTGTAAAGCCTTTAGGGGACCCGAGTCAGACTTAATATAGTTAGAGAGCTCCAAACTCTCATTTGATTCATAGAGTGCTGAAGTAAACTGAGGTGTAGAAGGGTCGTATAGCAAATCAGTGACAGAGCTGGGAACAGAAATGAATGGTCCATTACTTTAATCTCAGCCCAATACTTTAATAATGGGTGACTCCCAAAGCAGAAACAATTGACACCCACAGACTCCATTTATTATAAATATATGCTAACATTGTAATTGTTCCTACTACAAAACCAAATGCAAGAAGATGAACTGAGCCACAATTTAAGAACAGGATGATGGTTCTTCTTTGTCAAGTCCTTCTGCTGAATGCAGTATTTAGAGATGGGTAAGTACTGTGGTTGTATTTCATACTACATTAGAGGCAGAGGCTCGTTTTAAAAAAAAAAGAGAGGCATCTTAGCTAAGAACAACAGCATGAAGACTAGGGAAGCCATAACAAAGAGTAAAATGTCTTGATTGATCATAAAATGTAATGGAATAAAGAATGTAGAGATTTAAATATTTATCGAACTTGTAATGTTGTAACTATTTTGGAATGACTAATAGTTTTAAGATCAAAAACACTTGTTGATAAAGCAACACAAAAAATCAACATCTGTTCTGTAAAATAAGCAAGAGGGAACTATATCTACAGTATAAGAAAGACATAGCTGTCACCATGTACAACAGGCACATCTTTTTTAAAATGTTCCTTTTAAGTCAACTTATTTTTAAGAGACTATATTGGATGAAAAACCATGTCATAAAAGAATGACTTTTCATGTAACTATTAAAACTGAAAAAAAATGTAAATTTTTAGTTTAAAAGTCACTGCTTATGATGTGTATTTACTGTCTGCATTTCACTCAGTCCAACTCTTAGCCAAAAAGAGGCTAAATTTGACTGACTTTCTGGTTCTGAGAGCATTTACTTCATGCTGAGAGCATTTACTTCATGCTGCAATGTCTGGATTGCAAATATTGCATAGGATTAGTTAACTGTGGAGAAAAAATGCACTCTTTAAAAACAAGTCTACATGTTTACTGGCATTTTCTAAAACTTTGCTTTTGTAATTCCTAAACATGGAGTCTAAATTGTTCTGACAGGATCCTTTTACCATTCCCGAGCTGCATTCATTCAGTGTCTTCTCAAAAGAGCCTAAATGGACAATGCCTACATTTCCCCTTTCAAATTCCAAATTACAAGTAATTTTTTTTTTCCATTTCTAAAAATACCCTTTTGGTTACTGGTTCTTTAGCTGAGACACAAAGGGGACAATGTCAACTTAAACAGGGCATAATAATTTAGATTTTGCAAAAACCTGCTTTTACAAAGCCTGGTGCTTAGGAAATGTTTCTGTTTATTTTTAATTAAAAAATATAACTTGTTTTTAAATAAACTTTTAAAACCAAGACACGGTAGCATCACAAACATGAAACTGAATGCAAACACAAGTGAAATCGACTGTAACAATGATTATTGTCCAAACTGAGAGAAATGCAAAAGGTAAATGAAGCACGTAGAGGGATACACAAATTTTATTTCTAATTTCTTTCATTTTTAATCCTCAATAAGAAGAGCAATATATCTTTTGCTATTATTGTACTGACAAAATATGATTTCTAGATAACCAGCATCCCTCTAATTTCTCTGCTATTAGAGTCCTGATCCTCCCCTTATCACTGCCTGTGTTTTTTTTATCCAAGAATCAGACTAGGGTTTGTACTTGAAGTGTGACACAGGATCTTTCTGAAGAGCATAAGATCATTCTTCAGGAGCCTGATCCTGCATCACTGAAGTCAATGGGATCTTTGCTATCAAGTTTGGGCACAGGTCTGTCACCTCTTCCTTTCCTCACCCGATATGTCTATCCACTGCATGAACACCCTTAATTTTGCTTTTATAATACATGCATTGTGAGCAGGATACGGCCCTTAGTACATTTATTCCTCTATTGTTAAAATATGTATTTCTATTGAATCAGTGTTACACAAGTGACTCTCCAAACGGAGGATGACTTCTAAGGTTACCATGCCAATACATATTCCCCAAAAGTTATTCCCAGTAGCTTCTCTCCCTCTTGGCCTGGTCTTCTCTTGCCCACTTTAAGTGTTGCGTATCATTCAGAAAGCGAAGATGACACATTTTGCAGCGTTTAGCCCGCTAGAAAGATTGTAATCTAATTTTTTTCAAACATACGGTGTCTCTAGAAAGACACTAAGAAGCGGAAATCTTAAGGAAGGAAATCAGCTGAAAAAATATCCGGGACGGGAACTCCTGATGCTGTGGTGCGGAGTAGTGCCGAGTTGTCGTGCTGCGTTCATCAGTGGCAGGACCTTCTTCCTGCCCTCACGAATTAAAAAAAGAGCCGGAAATAACTCAAACCTGCCCTTCGCTTGTGCGTACTCCGCATACTGCACCTAATGCACGCTCCTCACTCTGCCACCAGACAGTGACAGTGACAGGAAAGAGATTCGCCCTTGCAAACAACCTCTCGCCTTGTTTCAACTTTCACGTCGGCATGGTTTTGTATGCTAACGCTCTCGTGCCCACCAAGGGGTGAGAGTCATTTCACCCGCGCGCACGCCTGAAGTTACTCATCCCCGCGCGCGTTCCCAGGACGAAGCCCTCCGCCTGCGGGTGGAAAACGCTCCGCTCTGACGTGTCGTTCGCCAGCCGCATGCCACCTGAAAGAGGCTTCGGGTGCCTGGCCGAGACCTTCCCCGGCGTCCCACCTAGCTGGTGCTTACCTCCGGCGGTGTCCCTTCAGAGCTGTCGCAGTCCCGTCGAGGCGTCGGATTTGACTCGAGCACGCAATGTCTTTTTTTCCTGCCCCCCCCCCCCTTTTTTGGAAATATGACCCTACGTTAGGGACAGCTTTTGGCGTGACGGAAAGGGGCGCACACGCCGCTTGGTGGGGGCAGCGGAAACCTCTCCGGCAAACCCTGGGAGGGGGTGTTCTAGGCAGGTGGGAAGGGGAGGACATCCCATCCCATCCCATCCCGAGTGAGGCTTTGTCCAGGGGGGTCTTAAAGCACCAGCCCCGGGGGGACGGAGAAGGGGACCCGGCACTCACTACTTGTAGAGCTGCTGCAGGCAGAGGTCCAGGCTCTCGCCCTCCACCTCCTCCTCCGTGATGTGCTCGGGCAGCGGCCGCGGCAGCGGGGGCAGGGCCGGCGGCTGGGGCTCGCCCTCGGGCTCCTCGTCCTTGCCCTTGTCCTCGGACGCCCCGTCGGGCGCCCCGTCGG